TCTATCCAATATCATCATATTTATAGAGGAGGATTTGTGACCTTCCCCTGTTCATCCATGGACAAAATAGGAAGCTCGTGGGAAGGTCACTGTAGATAATGGGAACACTGTACAATCATAGAATTTAGCAACTATAGGCCAAGACATGTACTGTTCAATCAAAGACTAAAATGGATATTCTCAATCCAATCAACCCTGCAAAATGACAAACATCCTTTTCACTGTGTGCCTCGTGATGGATGAGCGGCGGGGTGTCCCCTTGCGCTCTGACGTGGTTCACCATGCCTAAGAGACTGAACCAATGTTAGCCAAGTAAAGTGATATGACCGGTCACCTTCTCTCAAAAGTTACCCGGTCATTCTTTGTGCTCAGCCCGTCTCTGGTCTTCTAGAATGTCCTTTGTAACATTATGCGACATTTTGGCTAACGCCAAAAATGTGACCGGTCACTTTTTTAGTGGAAGTGACCGGTCAACTTTTGACCTGTCCCAATCGAAGAGTTAACCTCATTTGGTGATTGATAAAAGTGACCGGTCATTTTTTGACCTGTCCCTTTCGGTTGTCCGGGTCGGGTATAAGGATACACCCATCAATATGAAATGAAGTGAAATTTTATTTTTTTAAAATTCATTTTGTTCTAAAACGTTCTACATTTTATGCTTAAATTTTTAAAATTCATTTAATTTAAAGATTGGTATATAAATTAAATATAAAAAATACTTAATTAAAAATTATAAAATTCTTCTGTATACCTAAGGTCCATGCTCATTTTATTAATTTTAGTATATTTGTAGCATAAAAGAAATGAACTCTTTATGAAACCGAAAATATTCACATAGAAGCCCATGAAAATAGTGAGAAGAACCATAGTTTAAATGTGGGCTTAGATATTATGCAAGCATCACCTTTAAAAACTACATAAAAAGTTATACAACACAAGATGTGAAAATTTGTTTTGTTTTATCAAATAAATCAACAAAAATGTGTAAATAAACAAAAGTTTCTGTGACTTTTAAATGATGATGGATGTAATTTTTCTTGGGACGAATGGAGTATGTAGAAATGTATTATTGAGAAAGAAATTGCCTATAAATAAAATATTACCTTTTATACCAGCTATCCTAAAATATAATTATTAGATTGTAACAATGTGAAATGTATGTTGGCATTCCGTAGCTTTTTTGTTATTATATAGAGTAAATTCTATAAAAGGTCCCTAGTTATATTTCATTTTACATATTTAGTCCATACATATCAAATATCAATAATTTAGTTCCCAATTATTATATTGTTTTCTACAAATGGTCCTTTATTAATATTTATGTTAAAAACATGAATAAAATTGTAAATTCACGTTCTTCTCTCTCATCAATTAAGCTTCCTCCCCTCTCTTGCACTCATTTTTCTAACCGGGCTGAGTTTGAAACTTTTAACCTAAAATTGAAATCATCATTCCTTTCTCAATTGTTTGTCTTCTTGGTAGAATCCAAAATCAAAACTAGTAACTTTCATTGATGAGTTTTAAAGTTTGTTTTCTTTACAATTGTCTAAAACTAACCCATAAAACTCATCCATGAATGTTATTGGTTTTGATTTTGGGCTCCACCAGGAAGATGAACAATTGAGAGAGGAGTGGTCATTTCGATTTAAGATTTAGAGCTTCAAACCTAGTGACGAGTTTGAGAAAAGAGTGCGAGAAGAGGGAGGAAGCTTAATTGAGGAGAGAGAAGATCATGAATTTACAATTTTATCCATGTTTTTAATGGAAATGTTAACAAAGAACCATTCGTGGAAAATAATATAATAATTGAGGACGAAATTATTGATAATTGATATGCAGGGACTAAATATGTAAAATGAACTATAATTGGGAAACTTTTATGGAATTTACTCTAATATATATTGCTATTATTGATAGTATATCTCAAGTTTTAAAAATAAAAACATGAAGACTCATATTACGTTTTACTACTCCCTCCGTCCCGGAAAACATGGGAGTTTTGGTTTTGGAGAGGGATTTAAGGGGAGTGTATTTTGGTATTGAACTTCCGAAAACGTCTTTTGATGTGCTGGGTAAAAGTATGATTTGATGGATAAATTATCAGTAAAAAGGTATAATGTGATAGGTAGGGTATGAAAAAGTAAGGGGTAAAAGTGACTTTTTAATAGAAATGAGAAGTATTTTTTGGGGTGGATGAAAAAAGAAAGGAGAAAAGTTTTTTAGGACGGAGTGAGTATTATTTTTGTCTTTTCCGAAACTAAGATTTCAAATAGAGATAAATATGTACTTCACCCATTCGTATCATATCAACAACAATATGGTACATCTAAGGGTGGACACGGTACGGTTCCGGGACGATTCCGGTTCTGGAACCGCCGGTTCCGGTACCGCCACCCTTTGGTACCGGTACCGGATCGGCCAGTACCGGTTCCGGTTCCGGTACCGTTTCGGCCACCCATAATTTCTTTTTTTTTGCTTTTTTATTAATTTTTTAAAGTGTAGAATTGTAAATGTGTAATTGTTAAAAGAAAGGATGAAATAAAAAACTCTAAAAATGAAATTAATAAAGGAAAGAATGAAATAAAAAATAAAAATAAAAAAAATTAATTACGGTACCGGAACCGGTACCGCCGGTGCCGGTACCGAAAAATGGGCACCGGAATCGGTTCCCAGAACCGGTGGACCGTCCCGGCCGACGGTAACGGTACCGGTACCGGTGGTACCGTTTCCGGTCACGGTACCGTACCGGTACCGTGTCCTCCCCTAGATACATCAATACTTTAAACTATTTAAAAAAAAAGGATAAAATTGTTATATAAAATATTTTTTAATCTAAATTTATACGGAGTATAAGGAAGATATAAATATTTTAGTCTAAAATATAATAATAGAATGGGGTGGGGAGTACTACGTTATGAAAACAAAGATAGAACTACATCTTGAAAAAGAAAAAAACGAACCGAAAAGTGTAAAAATAAATTTAGATAACAAATAATATCACCAATAATTATAATACAACTAACAAAAAAAATTATATTTTCATTTATTTGATCTACGTTTTATTGTCTCTAATATGTAAAATATTGCGCATATAAATATAAATAATCCTATCGTTTTCAATATAATCATATTGTAAAAACTATACTCTGTATTTTGTATCTTCAATTAAGCTCAAAAGAATTGTAGAATATTAACTGATATTTCATCTCCAAACTGCTTCATTGCATCTTTAGTTTGTTCATCAAACAACATCACTTTGGGCCTATATTCCGTTGTTTGCTGCCTCGGTAGAAGTAAAACATAAAAAATGTAAAAAAAAAGTTCTATGTCTTTATTCCAAAAGTAGGGTTACAATGAAAACAATATCAATCATTAAAGAAAAAATAGGTTTGATTACATTATGTGACATGTCTGATATTTAAAACAAAATCTTGAAATATATAAAGTATAATTACAAATGTAGTATTATTTTATGATAAATATTGCATAAATAAAGTGACGTGCATCATAGCCACAATAACTTTTAAACATTTAACATTTTGATATTTATGCTAATTTTATATTCTAATTAATTTTTTTTTGTAGAAGTAGTTTTTTTGTATAAAAAATAACAACAACAACAACAACAACAACAATAATAATGTATAACAACAAGAATTAGAATGATAATAATATTAAAATACACAAAAAATTTAAAAGTTTTTTTTAGATTTTCCAATTTTTCTAGTTTTTTCAGTTTCATTTAATTTTTCTAATTTCTTCCGATTCATTCTAGTTTCTTCAAGTTTTTTTCCAATTTCTTTTAGTGTTTTTCAATTTCTTCCAATATCCAACTCTTTTTTTCTAGTTCTAAAAAACAGGCCCTAAGTCTCATTTTTCATAGAACATCATCCCATAACATTCTAAAGCCTTCTTATACAATTTTGAGTGTTCTTAAGCTTTGTTGTTTATTTTCATCACTCTTTTGAGTTTGAGCTTTCATTATTTTTATACACTCACACACAAGGATATTTGTGACTCATTATTTTATATCTTGCTCATAGGCTATTGTTGTTGTTGATTTAATATTTTGTTCTTCTCCTACCCAATTCAAATTATTTATTCTTGGTAGAGCAACTTCATATACTTCTTATTTTGTAAAAGGTGTGGATAACCTTTAAATCCTCATTGAGTTGAAAGATTGAAGATAGCCTTAAAATCTTCATTTGTAAAGCGTTCAAGATAGCCGTTGTAAAATCTCGTTACTTATTGGCAATGGTTGTTTGCCAAATCTCGTTTGAGTCTTCTCAATGAAGCCAAACAAGTTAGTGGAGGTTAAATCATTGTGTCGTGCTCTTTTCTTTCTTACTACTTTCTTTGCTCTTTTTCTGCTTTTTACTTTTGTTTAAGTTCTTACCTTTCAAAAATATTTTAAACGCCCTAATTCACCCCTCTCTTAGGGTGTAACCAAATATAAATTGGTATCGAAGCAGAATTTTTTTAACCTTTTCAAAAGAATTTTTTTAAAAACTTTTTCACTACACTAGATTCTATGAGTTCCCAAAACATCACCAAGTCACCATTATTCAATAGTGATAACTAGGGTTATTGGAATATCCGAATGGAGAACTTAATTTTGTTTTTGAGTTTTCAGGCTTGTTTGGCAATAAATTCACTGATACCGTTTAGCTTCATGTTTTCAAACTTAATATAAACATGTTCACGTTAATTGAAAACATTGTTACTCCGAATTAGATAAAGTTTTTGTTTCAAATACAAGGTAGTACATTCACATCATAATTTTCCAAAAATTAACAAAAAAAACTAATGTGGTGGAAAATTTGTAAAGGTCCTATTTAAATACAAAACAACAACAACAACAACCCAGTTGGATCCCACTACAGTAGGGTCTGGGGAGGGTGTGTGTACGCAGACATTGCCCCTACTTGGAAGCAGGGAGGCTGTTTCCAAGAGACCCCCGGCTCAACCTGCACAAAAAATATGATAGGGTATACAGTATAGCATGGATAAAACACCAAGTACAATGAAAAGAAAGTTCTACAAGCATTAATAGAAGATTCCAATCAAACACAACACACTACAAAAAACCTCTATAGCACCGAGTTCCTAACCAGCTACTCTAATCCTAGTTCTCCAAAGGTTCCTATCTAAAGCCATATCCTCAGTCAGGGTGAGAAGTCCTAAATCCTGTCTAATCACTTCCTCCCAATTCTTCTTAGGTCTACCCCTTCCCCTACTTCCCCCCGAAAACCGTAATCCGCTCGCATCTCCGTACAGGGGCGTCAGCATCCCGCCGTCTCACATGACCAAACCATCTCAACCTCGCTTCCCGCAATTTATCTTCCACCGGCGCCATGCCTACCTGACGTCGGATAACTTCGTTCGAAATCCTATCCATGTAACGCCCCAAAATATACCCTAGAATTATTAATGAATAATTATTCAAGTAATCAAATTATTTTGATTAGTAATAATAATAATAATTGTTATTGGGCTTTGGGCCGAAATGAAATATGTTTTAATATTCAATATCAAAATCTGGATAAGTCTCATAGAGATAAATCCAATATGTTGACTTATTGTGTGACCTTACTTGGGAACCTGAGTACAGACCCAAATCAAGGATAAATGAAGAATTTGTTTGTGATGTAAACTTTGAAATGATTTATTGAAATAAATCATGAGAATAAATAATATGAATGAAATGTAAAAACCTTTCTGAATAAAGGTCAACAAAATCAATTTTGACTCTGTCAAAGTCAACCACCTAAAAATATGATGTCGGAAAAAGTAGAACGAATAAATATAAAAATTATATCGTTGGATAGATTTTAATTGTACAATCGCAACGGTGCAAACGGATTTCAATTCGGAGAAAGTTGGACCAAAAAGTGTTCCCCGACTGGGACCAAATTAGTCCCAATCAGGGACTTACGTTTGCAGCCCGAAGAAATCGCCGCTCCCTCCACTGAGACGCCACAACAGTAGCAGAGGAAGTCATCAACCATGTCTTCATTCCATTACTCCCTCCTATTAAAACCCCTCCAAACTTCACCATTTCTTCACCATTTTCCTTCAAATAAACTCTGAGAGAAAGCTGTGAGTGTGGAGAACGAAGTTGTGCTGTCAATTTGGTGTGAAGTCGCCGGAGCAAGCTACAATCCTCGCCGGAAGTTTCGCCGGAAAATTCTCAAAACCTTCGATAAGCTTCGAGGTAAGCCCGTAGATATATCTAATGACTAGAATGTTCGTATAGATCGTTTCTACGTTCATAAACGGTCGTTTGGTTGAGTTTTGTGTTTGACATGCTTGAAGAACCAAGAATCATAAACCATGAAATTGATGTTAAAACTATAAATTAATGATGCCAAAATGATCCATGAACCTTGGAGAACATCTCTATATAGTTTCGTTGAAGTTCGGTAACTAAAAACGGTATTTTCGAAATTGGACCCGAACGAAGAAGAAGATGAACAGTAACCAAAACCAGACTGTCTGGATCGATCCAATGGCCTGGATCGATCCTTTGGGACTATTTTCTCTACATATGGATCGATCCAGAGGGCTGGATCGATCCCCCGAAGTTCTGATCCGAAAATTTGTCCGAAATTGCTATTTTTGAGCTCTAAAATCCTATTTTTGATA